CGCGGGTATTGTTTTCGCCAGTGGTCTGATGCCGGGAGACATTACACGACAGCGTGCACATTCGCGCACAGAATGATGGTTTTGGTTTCGTTTTGACAAGACAAATTGAGCTCGAGAACGGATGTGCCTGTGCTCGCGATCCTTGACGGCTAAGCGTCCAAATATGGTACGCTAGCAAATAACAGGTAAAACTAGTAACGACCATTTATTTTTCCTCATGTTGACGCGTGTGCATGCGCTCGCAAAGAAAAACAAACAAAACTAACGTAGCGCGTGTTCCTTAACTGCGTTCGCAAAGAAAAATAAAACGTAACTAACATAGTACGTGTTTCTTAACGGCTAAGTGTCAAAATATGGTGGGTCCATATCACATGAGCGAATGACATTTTAGCAAACAGAGACAATTGAGCGAATCGACGTTTTAGCGAAAAACGGGGGCGCGCGTTAACCCATCCTCCGCGCTGCGCTTACGCCGCTTCGCGGCGACAGTATGTGGCGGCTCATTACAAAAATGTGAGCCCATTTGGCCTCCCGAAAACGCCGCTTCGCGGCGTCCGACTATTCGCTTAAGTGTCATTCGGTGAAACGTGGGCGTTCGCCAAAACGTCATTCGATCAAGTGAGTGCCTCCCCCCACCGGTGCCGAGGCACCAACTACCACGATCACGGCAAATCGGGACCACGGGTAACTGCGTGCGCGCTCAACCGCGCCAACCAACTATGCCCGAAACCAAACCGATGTGTTCGTATATCAAGCTCTTTGTAGTGAAGATCGAAATCTCACTCTCGATGAACTAAAATCGACGCCTCGCCCTGCGGTTACACGTGGTTCGGAGCCCCAATCGAGTTGGTACGAGTCACCCGCACTGACGCCTAAACAAAAGTACACACCACATGGCCGCTAGTGGCCGACCGTTTTCCACTAAATTTAGAAAAAACACACAAAAAAAGCTGAAATCGGCGTTTTGGAGCAGGCTGGCGCAGGGCAGTGAATTGGCGCAGGGTGGCGCAATTGGCGCAGCGCTTCCACCCCTGCGGCCTCCGCGACTGCGCACGCGTCCCGGCAGCTACCGCCAGCAGCCGTCGCAGCCATCCGCCGAGTCGTACTCGTACATCGTTGCCGCCGTACCGTATCTGTGGCAGCGCAAGGGTGTCGCGACAGGTAACTCATTTCAATACTTTATTCGTCGTAACTTACCTTCACGTATTGAAGTGTCACCGAATCCATTTAGTTTGCACCGCAACCGTGTCAGGTTTCAACGAGGTTCGACAAAGCGTTGGTGCAGCAGACGACAGAACCGGTAGAAAGGAAAGGGATGAGAAAGGGGCAGCCGTCGGCTCGTCGCTCGCCCAACTCGGCTGCTCTGGTGCGGTGGTAACCTGTGCCTCCTCGCGTATGCCACGTGGTAGCGGGAGGAGGGGCGTAGCGAGGTCTCCCATTAGGGAGTTTTAGAATAACATACGCAATTTTAGCGCACGCTAGCGCTAAATTTAGCGCTTCTATTAGCGCACGCGACGCGAGAGTGTTTTGGAATAGCGTTCCTCCGTCGCGACGCAAAAGCCCAAGGATCTCGCGCTTGCGACGCCACCAAGATACAGTCACAATTTTTATTTCGCACACGAAATGCTGTAACTTACGAAAAAACAAGTTTTTTGGTCCAAAGTATTATTTTAGATTTGTTTAAACGTGAGAATGCGACGCGAGCGGTTGACCGGTCGTGTCCGCTTGCGTCGCCTCGGCAAGAGAGGTCTCGTGTACTGACCTTCGCACATCGTACCTTCGCCGAGAAATGTTCGCGCGTCACAAGCATCAAGCTGTCGGTGATCGTTGTCAAACCGAGTAATTGTCGTCCCGTATTGAAAATCGCAGTCGCGAGGATGCCGCCGACGTCGCACTCACGACGCCGCCAAAGCAGCCGCTGACATAATCCTGGAAGCCGCCATTTTTTTTCAACTCAGCTCGTCTTGACTTAAGCCAACTTCTCATCACGAATCCTCCTTGGAGAAGCACAAAGACTCTTTGCGTACGCACGCTATTTCCGAGAAATAGCGCATGCTAAAATTTCGCACGAAAAGTACGAAATTTGGTTTGCGTTCGGAGCATGCGCAGTAGCGACGACGCTATTCTTTGCGCACGCAAAGCTTTTCGTGCGCTATTCTAAAACTCCCTATTATTTGTCGCGCGGCACGCGCGGGCTTTTGGGATTTTAGCAAAGGGTCTATTGCATCCTACGGCTCGTACAAAAGTACTTGTCTTCATCGGGTTTATATAACTGCAAGGAAAAATAAATAGTGCCTCAACGTGGGGGTCACCGTTAATTAAGTAGTAACAATCAACATTTTTGTCAAAGCATTAAGTTCCGATCAGAACTTCATACTTTCAGCAAGATAACAATGGCAACCAAAACTGTTAAAAAGCGAGGAGAGACGCTATGAAAGCGGCGGCAGCGCGTGCCACTGGGGTGGATCGCTCACTGAGGCCGACCGCTCAACGACCACTAGCGAGGAGCGCTCGGCATCTGCCTGCGGAAAGGGCTGGATCGCGCATCCCCGTTTGGTCGCTGCAGCTGCAACGCGAGAGTGAGCCACCGGTCGGCCATCCTGCATGTTGAAAAATCGCGTTTTTTGAGCGTTGCGGAGGCTGGCGGCAGCATGCTGAAGACACGTTTTCTACTCGTTCGTAGCTATTCGTTGAAGGAGCTCTTTAAAACCCTGTGTAAGAGGGTGTCCAAACAGCACGCTACAAAACGCACGACTCCGACAAATCGTGAAAATTGAAGCGGGCGCGTCTGCTTCAATTTTCACGATTTGTCGGAGTCGTCCGTTTTGTAGTGCCCTGTTTGGACACCCCTTAAGCCGTGAGACTTTCCGTTGCGAACACGTGGAAATTTTTACGGAAGCGCAGTGCCGCAGTAAAAATGCCCACCTCATCGAAAGCAAGTTTCGCCGCCACGATGCAACGCGCAGATCACAAGTGACCTGCGCGTTGAATCATGCGGCTTTTCCCATATTGGAACGCGCGGGACCCTTGAGACGTCATTATAGGAAACGTCCCATAATGCAATGCGCGGGTCACCAATGAGACGGCACATTGCATTATAGGACGTTTCCCATAACGCAACGCGCGGTTATGCCGACGGCGACGTTGGCGTCGCCGTCGCCGACCACGCGTTGCATCATGGGACGCTTCCCATAATGCAACGTGCGGGACCCTCTTGTCGTCACACATGCCGACATTATGGGAAACGTCCCATAATGCAATGCACGGGTCACGAGTGAGACCCGCGCGTTGCATTATGGGACGTTTCCCGTAGTAAAACGCGCGGTTACGCCGACGGCGACTGCGACAGCGATGCCGCTCAAGCCGGAAACGGGCGCCCAAGAGCTGCGCTCTAAGAAATTAATAGATATAAACCAAACTAAACTTTCATTCCACAGCCATGTTTCATCCCGTCCTATTTAACAAACCGGAAATAAGCCCTTCTTAACTGGTTCAAGGATGACGTGGCGTTAATATTAGGCTAAGTATAATATTAGGTGTCACCTTTTAGCATACTAAACCTAACGGTCATTTGTAACCATCATGTAGTTTCTATATCAGCGAAAAAGCTATGTCGGTTACATATCAAACTTGCATGGCTCGAATGGCCTGTGAAAGCAGCGAGAAAACGATGTCGGCCAGTCACCGGGAAGTCCGTGGCTGAACTGGCCGGTGATTACAGAAAGAAAACTATGCCGGCCGGTATCGGGAACTTTCCAGCTGGTACTGGCCAGTTTAGACAACGAGTCCCCGATATCGGCCGGGGCAGGTTTCTAACCGGCGTCCCTGGCCGGGATCCGCCGTACAGCTCCCGGTACTGGCCGATGTAATCCCAGTATCGGCCGACATGGTGTGGTACCTGGGTGGTTGGTTCTGAAACTGGCGTTTGGTTCGGTACGCTAGCGCTACATTGGGGCTGAAAACGAGCCTTCGGCGATACATAGTTTATTTTGCTTGCGGCGGGGAAAACACTTGTAAATTGTATTTTGCACACCCTATAATTTAATCCTATACTGATAAAGTCGTGAAACTAAGAACATATAATGTCATTTGAAGCTCCGCTGTGTGTGTGCATGCGTGTGTGTGTGTGTGTGTGTTTGCGCACGCGTGCGCGTGTGTGTTCCCTAAATTTCGCTGAATCAATTCAATGATCATATCTAAGATATCACATCTAAGATATCATCATCCGAGTGAAAGCATTGAATAGTTTGGGTGATCTATGTGATAACATTTCGTTCCCAAAATCTAGGCGATCACTGGCTGCAAAATTTATGTTCCGAAACACGTTAGAAATCATCCAATTCTTTCATGTAGGTATTATTATTGAGCAGTTCATTTTTATATCCCATAGTAATCCAATGATTATACCCGTTATGGACGCTTGTTATTTTATACGTTCTGAGCGGGTGTTAAGTATTCAAGTAAAAAGGCACGTTAGTAAGATTACGTAAGATTCGTTTTTGAAGAGTGTGTGTTATCTTAAGATTTCTTGCCGTGGTATTACCCCAAGCCGGATGATGATAATTTAAATGAGAAAAAAATGCATTTATATTGCAATACTTCAACTGACTTTCGAAGTATATAATGGTTCCCAGGCACGTAAGAGGGAAAGGGGGGGAGGGGGGGGGGGGCATGGAACCCGGGACTCCCCGAAATCTTCCATTTTGCTGGGGCTCCCTCTCCCCCTTCCCCTCATACAGCATTTTGTCAAGGTCGCCCCCCTCCCGCCCCCCCCCCCCCCCCCCCAAATCAAAATCCTGGCTACGTGCCTGGCGGTTCTTATGTACGAGGCAGACAACCCTGGCTAATTAACATTTTTAAATACTCATTGCAGTCGCCCAAAAAACGCAAGCAAACTAAAAAAAGCGAAAAAAAAGGGGTTATTGAAAACAACGTTAAGCGCATTTTGCATTGTTTTGACTTTCCCTCAGGTGCAGGAATTTCCGGGTCGGGAAGGCGGCATGAGCGAGGAGAGCGAGTACAGAATGAGACTGGTCACCCTTGGCGGCGGAGGAGTGGGCAAGAGTTCCATCGTCAAGCGCTTTCTATTCAACACGTACACGGACCGCTACAAGCCCACGGTCGAGGACCTCTTCTGCAAGGAGTTCGATCTGGACACCATGACTCTCAAGGTAAGTCTATTTATACGCGTTAAAACGAACTACAAACTTTTAAAAAAAAAGTATACATGTTTTTTTTGTTTCTTTTTGTTTTTGTTCTATTTTTTTTCATAAAAAAGTACGCATTTGGAACGCCCAGTCTTTACCCACATGTAGCGATAGCTGTCCGAATTGTATGTCAAAGTTTCAGAGCTAACCGTTATATAGTATTCAAAAGTCAAAACCGATTTTCTGAAAATTTTAATGTGAAATGGTGGTCCTCGAAGCCCACGAACATTGCTGAAGTTCCGAAGGGCGCATACCACAGAGAACGGGCACCATTTTGCCATTGAAAGTATCAGAACCGCAATAATCTCTTTAATGCTGTGGTTCGTTCAGTCACTCTTGCATCTGGTCTGGATCGCCAATGTTATATTTGGGCGGTAATTGAGCGCTCGGCGAGGTGTCTTTGTTTTATACGCTGTGAATTATTTCGGTGGGACAAGCTTGAATGGTGCGATTCTGTGACGCACTTTTGTCACGTTAAATACGTCAGTTGTGTTCATACACTTATGAGGTTGGCTCCTAAATGTGAATTCTGGTTTATTATATTGGGTTGAGGGCTGGGAAGTTGATCGATTAACCTATCGACTAATCGATTAATGCTTTAATCGCGTTTAATTATTTTTTGTCCGGTTAATTCATAAAATTTCGATGAACCAAAAGAAAGTAAAAATTGCAAGCTTTCACCATGCAAACGTGGACGAGTACAGCTGTATAGAGGGCTAAGCTTAGGTTCAGATCTACCCTAAATTGAAGTAAACTGTAGGGGCAAGATTTGTTATTTCTGACAAGTGCAGAAGGTTACGCGTGACTCGACCACTTCAACGCCGTTCAAGTGCCCGGTTAGCGCTGCGGAGACGTTTGTGAACAATCAAAGGAGGTCGCCCTTCCCGGAGAATATCCACAAACCGCTTTGCTCATGCAGCTGGAGTAATAACCTGCGAGTCCGATTGTCTTTGAACTGTTTTTAAATACACATCGAGGTTGATTTATAATCAAAATTGTATATTGCGACGTTCATCCAATATTCGGAAAAGGCAAAAAGTATTAAATTTATTACGCATGGAAGCGAACGAGCCCGATTAATTGATCAATTAATCAATTAAAAAGTGACCATTAATCGTGTTAAACTTTTAGTAGACGCCAGGACCTAGTTATACTAAACTAAACCGAAGGTATTACTTTTTTGGTATCGACTAATGTAAACCCGAAGCGCGTAGGATGTCTATGAAACGAGACACAGTGTTTCTGCTCTTAATTAAGTACTGCATACACAGCGGCGTGCCGTCATCTACCAGTACTGCGTCACGATTATTAGAGACTCTAAGCTGACAGACGTATTTCCATGGCCAAATGTCTTATCCAGCGTAAATCAAGGTCGCGATATTTGGCAGACCTTTCTCACACTGTGTAGACACTCACAATATCGTTTTCTGGTTGTGTCTTGCTGTCAAGCACTGGATCGTAATATGGTCATCAAATGAAAACGTTTTCAAGAGCACTTACTTTTAATATTAATCGGTTTTCGATATTCTAACTGCATTAAAAAAATGCGCAAAAAAGCTTTTTCAAATTATCTGTTATTTAAGGTGTGTAGATGATATTTGGTGTCTGTTCCCTTACCTTCAGTGGTGAGTTCTGTTCTGCTCTGATCCAAGTAGTAAGTAAAGTATTTTCTTCTTACTCAGAATTACTAAGATTTACTCACCAAGATATATCGCGAAGTACTTTTCAGCTTTTATGTTTCAGTACAAACTTAAACATGATACATTTAATCTGCGTGTACGAAGAGCATATTTTGAAATAGGCACTGCATTTGAACTCTGAGCAATGTAAACTTGTTAAAATGGATGCCGTTTTTCTCAATGACGTGCTTTCTTGTTAATCAAGACTACTCACCATTTGATGAACAGACTTTCCGCAGCGCGGACAGCTGTTTTGAGGCTGTTTCGCACACTCGCGACTAGGGCTGAGCGGTAGGGCAGCTGGTCGTGACTCGTAAACAGCCGCAGGAGACTTAAACAGGTTTTTAACCTTTCCGGCAGTACGCAGCCGCAGATATGTGAACCGGCCTTATAATCTGCCGGTTATTTTGATACCTATTTTATGGAAGTTGCCGAGAGCCTCATATCAAATCCAATCAAAAAGAGGTGAGGAACCATCCCTCGAAAATTAGGAAGAGAAACATGCAGCCAATCAGCAATCACCAGCTTTTGCAAAATGAACTAAAAAGTTAGCGCAAATTTTGACGCGTCCTTGACCTTTTTGTCACGTAAATAATGGGCCAGGCGGTACTGCAACACAAATGTAACCGGAGAAATTTTAATTTTAAATAGCATTTGTATTTCTATGTCTAAATACACGGTAATAATATGCAGTGACAATTAACGCCAGTCACCGTTTTGTTGCCGGGGTAAACTTTAGCTCAAGTGGCGTCATATGAAACAGCCCACTTTACAACCTACCATTTTAAAGCTCAAGTTGCGTAGATATAGAGTCGCGAACTATGTGAGCTGAAACAGACATCCTTCTTGCCTCTTTGGCGTACCTGCCAGTTTCGGAAAGAGCTGTAGTCCGAACTAGGAATAGAATGCGAAGTTGAAGTCCTTACATGGCACTATTTGACAAGTTGGGAGATAGAACTTGTGGGGATCGCGGACACAGGAAAAAGTCCGGATCGGATATTTCAGCTCTTATTTTCAGCGGCGGGTACTTGTGCTCAGGAACCAAGTAACCAAAACTCTTTTTTTGTTGCCTCCTTCCGTTCCAGGTGGACATCTTGGACACTGCAGGCGACCACCAGTTTCCCGCCATGCGCAGACTGTCCATAGCCAACGGACATGCCTTCCTCCTCGTCTACAGCCTCGACTCGCTGGCCTCCTTCAGGCACGTCAAACAATGCTTCGAGGAAATCAGAGAGCAAAAGGCGGATTTTCAGGTACGAAGTTGTATCACAGCGGAGCTGTTAAGGGCTAGTTTCCAGAAAGATCGTGTCCGCAAGCAAATACATGTCGACACAACACTCCGGACAGCTACCGCCATCTATGAGCGACGGCGGCAACCAGACAGCCGGCTTGCCGGATGTCTGGTTGCCGCCGTCGCTCATAGAAGCCAGCAACCTTTCCAGCCTTTCCACTCTGGCTTGCGAATTGTGGCCAATCATTACTTCATTCCCACCATAGTACCAGCTTCACTAGTCTTCCTTCTTCACCAAAATAGAAAGGCTAAAAGCTTTCTTTTTCTTTTTAACTACAGCGGTGCAGACATTTAAATTTTAGATTGCAGGGCTGCTGTAGTGCTGAAGTTTCTGCGCCACACTCCGCAGGCCAGCGTGGGGCACTGCCTGAACACAAGTAATGTGTCAGCTTTTGGGTAGAACTCGAGTGCATTAAGTGACGACTTGAGTACCAGCCGACCTGCGACGCGCGAGTCATGTCCAATTTGGGCTCTAAACTCAATTGAAGTCTTTGACGTATAGATATTCATCACTTTGGCCCTCTTGTCTAGAAGGTGTGATGGCATGGCTTAAATTATGAGTTAATATGATTAAGCAAGATGGATGAGGAAACAAGTCCTGAGGAAGCCAGCAATCCCAAAGCGTCCCTATGTTTGTAAGCCACAACGGCCATTCTGGATTGTCGGCACCGAAACTCAGCTTTTTGTATAAAGTGTATGTTGGTATTACCGATTGCTACACTAAATAGAGTCTAGCTGTGGCTAGGGTCGTAAGACAACGACTTTTGATGGCAGGAGATATAGAAGCGAACCCAGGCCCGATCACTTCTGCCCAGGAGAAACAACTAGTTGAGGCTATGCTACTAATACCTAGGATGAACGAGGAGCAAAAACCGATGTTGAACTAATTGAAAGTCATTAGGGAAATGCAAACATCGTTTGAAAGAAAACTAGAGGGCTTGTCAACTATGATAACTATTGAAAGCGAGATGACTATGGTTAAATAATTGAGAAACGAAGTTTCAGAAATAAAAATGGCGAATCTAGAACTTGACAGCCAAATTGGAATTACTATACCACGTCAGGATGACGTACAAAATCAATCGCGGAGAAACAACCTTATTATTTACGGCTTGGCGGACACAGCAAATGAAACCTGGGAAGAATCTGAGGCCAAGGTGGTCTCCTTTTGCTCTGGTAAGTTCGGCGTAAAGCTTGAGCCCACTAACATCAAACGTGCTCAAAAGCTAGGCTGCTTTTCTGAAGAGAGGGGACGCCCCCTTATCTCGAAGTTTTCGTCATTTAAAGATAAACAAAAAATACTGTTCGTCGCCTATAAGCTAAAGGGGAGTGGCCTTTTCATTGGTGAGGACTTCTCACCTGCGATACAACTCTCATGACGCAAACGTTTAGAGTACGCCAGGGAACAAAACGCCCAATTCAAACTACGATACAACAAATTAGTTATTCGTGGTAAAACATACCAGCACAATCCTGAGGCCGACACCGTGTTTGAAACCTCTGTATAGCCACGACAAAAAAGCGATATCAGAAGGCCAGACGTACAAGAACTTGTCTTTGTTACAGTGAACTGTAGGAGCATCAAAAATAAAAAAGGATGACCTTGTTTTTATTCTTGCTACAACGGATGCTGATGTTGTTTGCGGTACCGAATCTTGGCTTGACGCTTCTATAACTAACTCCGAAATATTTCCACCCAACTACGAAGTCTACCTCAAAGACAGAAATTCGAGGGGAGGGGTTGTGTTTTTACTCGTCTCGAAAAACCTACAAAGCACAGCCCTCGAATTTCGAGACTGTATGTGCGAATCTGTTTGGTGCAAGATAGAACTCCAAGGCTATAAATTTATAACTGTAGGCGCATTTTATAGACCCCCAGGTAGCAATTCACTGGATCCCCTTTTGTGTCTTTCAAATGTGTTATCTGCAATAACGCCTGATGACGTTATTCTTGGTGGCGACTTCAATCTTCCGGACAATGATTGGGTCGACAATCTGCCACTTTTGCGAAATTCTTCGTCACTGTATAAAACTTTCAAGCAACTCATAGACGCCCATAAGTTGCAACAGTTTGTGTTGCTTCCAACAAGGTACGGTGCAACAAGTGAATCTATACTAGATCTTTTCTTTACAAACCACCCGTCCGCCATCCGTTCGGTAACGACGGCTCCGGGCATCAGTGACCACGAAGCTATCATTACAAATGTTACATGTAACCATGCTGCGACTGATAAGCCATGCTCCCAAAAAATTTATTTCTTTGATCCAGGGGATTACGGCAGCTTGTTTTTCGACCTCCTGGCTTATCTTCCGTGCACATTGCTTTACATTGAATAATTATAAAATCTATTTAGGAATGAACTTTCTTTTCTTATCGCTGAATATATTCGTTCTAGGATGTTGTCGGGAAGGCGCAGAAATGACAAACCGCGGATGACAAAATAGTTGCAACTCCTTCTAAATAAAAAGCTAATATTCCTTCGAAAATATTAGAAAACGAGGGACCCAGCCACAAAAAATTGAACTTCGGTGGCTGGATAATATCTTTAAGAATAAAGTTAAGGAAGCGAAGGAACACTACTATTTGGCACTGGGACCAAAATTACCTAACAACCCAAAGGAACTATGGAAAACGGTTAGAAAATCGGGCAAGAGTGAATAAGTAGGCATTCCAGCAATTCTGAACAATGAAAAACTGACCTCCGATAACTTTGTCAAGGCTGTTTGCTTCAATAACTTCTTTCAATCTGTCTTTTCAACAAGCGGGCTTGTTGTACGAAAATCTTTCGAGGCAACTTTTGATACAATGCCTCAGTTTGTTGTAGAAGATTATGACGTACTGAAATTACTGCGTAATCTGAGATCCCATTCATCCATGGGGCCTGACGGCATTCCTAACCACGTTCTGAAAGCCTGTGCTGCAGCAATTTTATATTTTCGAGTTATTCTTTTCAACAAATCGCGCTTTACTAGCAGGCTACCATTGGAGTGGAAAACGGCAAATGTTGTGCCCATTCATAAGTCAGGCCAAAAAACCCTGGTTTATAATTAGAGGCCCATCTCCTTAACTTGCGTTTGTTCCAAGTTACGTGAACATATCATATATTCAAATATGGTTAACCACTATGAATTCCATACCTTTTTTTCCAAAGTCTCAGTGGGTTTTTGGGCTGGTTTATCGTGCACTACGCAGCTCACTGAGTTTTACATGACCTTTCACTTTCACTAGATAAGGATGTTCAGGTTGACTGCTGGCTCCTAGATTTTCAAAAAGCATTTGATAAAGTACCACATTCACTTCTTATGCACAAGTTGTCGTTCTTGGCCCTTCCCGACGATCTTTTTAGTTGGATAAATGATTATTTGTTAAATCGTAAACATTGCGTAGTCGTTGGTGGTCGAAATTCCCCATATGCAGATGTAACCTCGGGCGTCCCACAGGGGTCTGTACTTGGGCCACTTCTCTTTTGATATATATCCATGACATAGCACAAAACCTAACATGCAGTGTACGATTATATGCAGTTGATTGTGTAATCTATAGAACGGTTAAATGTGAGTATGACACTCTACTTTAGTCAAACATTGAAAAAGTGATGACCTGGTGTGACAAATGGCAAATGTTTCTTAATATCAATAAATGCAATTATGTTAGATTCACCAAAAAAACAGCCATATCTATAAAAATATCAGTTCAACGGTTTTGGCCTTGAGGAGGTTGCTGATGTCTAATATCTAGGGGTTTATCTTAGCAGCGATCTTTCCTGGACTAAGCACATTGACGGAATAACAGCAAATGTAGACCGCGTTTTAAATTTTAGCAAACGGAATTTCAAAATGGCCCCAACAAATATTAAGGAGCTGTTATACGTAACTAATGTTAGGCCAATCTTAGAGTAGGCTTGTCCAGCGTGGGACCTGTATTACGTAAATTTATAATATCGAAACTAGAGCGCGTGCGAAATAGAGCAGCCCGTTTTGTTGCAAATGATTATGAATTTTGCTCAAACATAACAGATTTAAAGAAACAACTGGAGGGGCAGTCTTTGGTGTCACGGAGAAAGAATGAAACTTTTCAGAGGTATTTACTTAGGACAAACAGGTATTGTGAAGGACAACTACTTACATGACCCTGATTACCTTTCCTCAAGGGTGAACCACCCGCTAAAGATAAAGAAGATTAGGTGTAGAACTGAAATGTTTCAGAACTCATATTTCCCCAAATCAATTAGTGATTGGAACAGTCTTCCGCAACACGTGGTCACTGAGAGTTCGGATGGTATGTTTTCCTCCTTATTATTAGACATCCTTTAATAGTGGTGCGCTGAAGTTTTTGTTTTGTACTGTTTTGTTCTGATTTTGTGTAAAAATTAAAAACGAGCGTGTTGGTTAATAGATACAAAACTTGAAAGTATAAAACAGAGAGGACGATGACAGGAACAGGACATCTTTCAAGATGTCCTGTTCCGGTCATCGTCCTCTCTGTTTTATACTTTCAAGTTTTGTATTTGTTTGTGTAACAGTTTTGTAACAGTCTTATTGCACTTCTTTTAATCAATAGTCTTACTTTTTATGAACATGTCTGATACAATGTGACGTATAATCGTTTTACTTTCCTGTACCATACCCATTGTAGGAGAAGCGCTAAAGTAGACTCACTCACCCTCACACTCACAGCAGAAAAACGGTCACTCACGTCGCGCTGATTTTCAACTCAAATTCGAAAAGAACCATCATCAGTTACCACGTGAGATAATAGAGGCCGCCAACATCATAAAAAGGAGTGACACCTGTGTTAGTAGTCCATCCATAACGCTGACGGGAAAAGAATTGTTATATCTTGATTCTCGTAGGTAATGTGCGATAGACATTGCTAATTGTTTTGTACAGAAGAGAAAGAAGTGAGGTGACAAATTTAATACGGGTAAAAGAAAAACGAAAGAAGACGAAAATACAATTTGAGTTGAAAGTCAGCGCGACGTGAGTGACCGTTTTTCTGGTGTGAGTGTGAGTGTGAGTGTGAGGGTGAGTGAGTCTACTTTAGCGCTTCTCCTACAATGAATATCCAACTCGCCCAAGCATCTATTCTAAGATGTACCATACCCCCTACAATAATGCCTCTGCGGCGATGTAGTAACGGTTCAAATAAAAATAAATAAATTATCGGCCTTATACGATTCTCTCATTGGCCCCTGTGACGTATTTGGGAGGATGTCTTCTAACGTCAATAATTGTGATGTTGCTCTTGAGCGCACTCTCATCAAACTCTTCAGTAATCTACACACAGCACCTGACTAGCTATTCTAAACTCAGGATCTGTCTGAAGAATCACCACAATGCCAAGCCTTAAAACAAATATTTTTTTTCTGTCACGGCAGAAGTGTGACAAGTGAGAGTAAACCTAAGAAAGATTTGACCACATATAAGTTCTTATAAGGTTTTCTGTAGTTCGCTCATACCTCGTTAATTTTTTTATAGTCAACGAAAGGTTATAATACAAAGGGCGTGACTGATTATGATCACGTTTCTTGCTTCAGATTTGTTTTCCGGCGTTATGTTTTTTTTGCTTATGTCTCAATTTCGTTATAAGTTACAAACAAATGAAGGGAATGAATAACGCTCATATGTGACAAAATAAAATGCCTTAAAACATTAATCTGGAGTCGACGTGGCTCTAACTAGACATTTATGATTGCATTCCAAAATTTATTACTCTGCTCTTTTTGAAAGCTCTGCAGAATTGCATTAATATTAAGGCAGGGACCAGCAAGGGGAAAAGTTTAAACAATTTTAAACGTCATAATCTAAAATCTCAAAATAAGAATAAATAAAGAAATGAACGTCACTAAACAAAAATCTCAAAAGCAGCTGGGTGCCTGTGTTTTTTCGCACAAGGGCACGAATATATAGCCGTTTACACAGAAAAAGATGAGGAAGACAAAACACATGCCGCCGCAAAGATTTGATGGAGACTGGCCTGAACCTGTCCAGACAGCCTAATCTCCAAATTAGTGCATAGTTTGGAGATTTCTGTTTGGTAGTAAACTGTTTGTCAGTTTCGTTTTCCGCTCTTCTGAGGCTATAAATTCTATTTAAAGATAACATTCGCATAACTGACGTGGGCGCTAAACGCAAAAGTGCTTTGATCAACAGATTCAAACCCCAGTGATGCATGTGCGAGTTTTTTTAACATAATAAACGCATTTTTAAATTAAGTGGAAGATGATGTGCGTTTTAGAAGATGCCTTTAAGTAACAAGGGCTCAGCAAGACAAAGTCCGCAGACATAAACAAAGCTCTACACAGACGCGCAAGTATTGCGCTAGAAGTTATGAATAAAGTAAACTCGACTCAAAAGCCGTTGCTACTGCTTTTTGATCGCTAAGAACACGCTTTCTTATCGGTCATCGCACTATAGGAGAGCATTCCGCTACCAGGTGGTACAACAAAATTCGTTAAACTAGCATTTTTCGCAAAGTTACAATCTAACGGCAATCGTTTATCCATGCTCAAGCATCGTCATTCATACCGTTGCCACCACTGACACTTCATACTACTGAGGAACTAAGCGTCGTAACGGTAAAAGCAAAGTAGTTTTATGCAGCATCAATTATGCTCTCTGAGGCACTTTAGCGGTAACATGACTTCGTCGCTGTTCCACATATTGCTTCCAAACGGGGCTAGCAGGCATTAGAATTTATTACTTAGGTTAGTACCCCACTGGACACTTTCAACCACCATAGTAGTTTTGACTCAATGCTGAAAGAAAAACCACAAGAAAAAACGGCAATGGTTTGTTTGCGCAAGGTGTCCACACCAGGCCCCGCACTAATAAGCCATGTCTGGGTTCAGCACTTTCAGGCTAAAACGAAACCGAACCAAACGGGGAGCTAAAAGTGACTGTTCCATTTACATCGAGCGAAGAACCCCAAATCTGTCCGCAACCGACTCAAACGTTAGCACTGCCGCTCAAAAGCGCCACATGACAATACGCGCCCAATGAGTGTTTGAGCCTATTTTCACGAGAGGTCGCGACGAGGCCCTGTACAAGGATAACCCAAACCACTCGAAGGACCTGACACTCCGGACCACCGGCTTAAGCCAGCGGGCAATGCCAGTGGCCGAGTCACGATACTGGGGACCCTATAGTCTATGTGGAGAGCACGGGCCTCAGTCACGCCTTTTTACACTTAATAATATTACCGGAAGGCCATACTAGAGATTTACCGCCCAGCACCCTATCGCTTAGTAAACGTTAAATGGGAAACATTGGTCCTGTAGCGTTCTTCCGTATTTTTTTTTTTTTTTTTACCAAACCAAATGAATTAGAACAAGTTTGTTTAATTTTTCGTGCTGATTTCAAGTATGTTTTTTTTAATGAGTAGGTTCTTTCTCGAGATAATTATAATTTACCCCCTTTGTTTACAGAAGCAATAGTGAAAATCTATTTTGAAAAACACGTTTTATCATATGGCTAGATACTACAAATTATGAAGCATACAATGTTGGAAGCACTTTTCTGGATTTAACTGGTGACTTTACAGCACATTTAATTTCAGCGTTCAATGTGTGGCTACCAATCCATAAAACAATAGTTCGATTGAATATTTTCCTACGCCTATATTGAATAATTTGCTTCCAACATTGTACGCATTGTGCATTTTAGCTATGCATTTTGTTAAGAAATTTATATTTCTGTCTGCGAAAATTGCTGAGATCTCCTTTCTAACATTTCGCAGAGTTGAGAAAGTGTCGTTTTAACATCAACTTCAGCGCAACTTCAGCCTGCATAAATATTATGAAGTGTAATATGGCTCACGTAATAATCTTTAAGATGAGAAACTTGGTAAACCAAAAGAAAACAATGCCATAAATTTAAAATATTAAAAAAAAAAAAGAAACAGTGTTTTAGGGATTTCTTGGCGTCTAAGAACCACGTATTCCCTTAACCACTGCCATCAAGATCTGCCTCTTAAAACAACTTGCAACTCATCACCCACGTATTCTTATTCACCAAGGGGCGACATTGAGGAGGGGCAGGGAACGCGCGAAGGCGTGTCAGACAAGCACGCGGCCTCACTGGTCGAGGTCAGGGATACCTAACCACGTGGGTTTATTTGGCGGGTGAACAAATGCAAGATATCCACAAGGAGCAGTCAAATTTGCACGCCACATAGTGTTTATGCCTGGGAAGTTTTCTTGGCAAGGGGTTGTCAAACTGCTTTATGAATCTTCTATTTCTTCTGCGCTCTAAAGCAGGGAACCTATATAATTTTCCTCGCTGCCACCCGCCTGTCATCTACTGACAACTATCTCCGCGCTGCGACCCAAGAGCCCTTGCACGTACTTATGCTCCGGCATACTATCGATGACGGAGCGTCTTTCGTGTGGCGGATTACACTTGACCGCCTGGCGGCATAGGAGGCCGGTGAAGGTGTAACATTCGGGCAACCCGGTCGAAGGCCTTGTGCCACCAGGGTGCAAACAAAATAAAAGTGTATGTTTCAAGATGATCGTTCCTCTGTGCACGTTCTAGATATTCACTGGGCGGTTTCATTTGGATTCAGGCAACGAGGTGCAGTCGTATTTTTTCTTATTTCCCTTCAAATATTTATAGTTCGTGGCGCATGTTCCAAGAAGAACGATCCTTTTTTATTTTAATGTCCTGGCATGTTTAGTTTCTGAGAAAAAGAAATCTCAATGAAGCGGGAAAGAACGACGAGGTGTTGACGATTGTCATGTGTGGTGTTTTTTAATCACTCTCAATCTTAATATATTCAAATGAGAGCGTCTATAATTTTATAGTGTGATATATATGCAAGTATGTAAGACGACATTATGACTACTATTTATTATTCGTCGCTTCAATCTTTATAAAAAATCCCCAAACATGCCTCCGCGAATAACTGTGGCCGAAACTGCGGTTTTTGTTTTTGAGTCGACTATGTTGACTATCGCTTTTAAAATAATACCACGTGTAGGACCTTGCATTGCCTTCCAAATTAAGCAAAGTTAGTGTTTTTATTTTGTATGAGTACTGAGAAATAAATTATCAAACAGAGAAGGTTTTCACATTTTTGTTCAATTTCAGCAGGTTGTGTAAAAAAAACATTTTTAATTTTTTTTTTTCGCTTTGCGTTCTCTTTACACCATTCTTTTAGTCAGAATACATTCTGTTAGAGGTATATGCACTGGTTTTGAGTTTTAAGCCTCTAAATATGCAAAGAAGAGCAAAGGCCGATGGTGGGTCTTGACGATTGTCGTGTGTGGCGTTTTTAAAGCACTCTCAATTTCAAAGTATTCAAAAAAGAGCTTCTAGAAACCAGATTTTCACAATAACAACTTTGGCCGGTGAAATAGTAGATCTAGCAAAATCTTTCTATTTACCTAATACGTCGATGCTCCACAATGTTATTTTTGCACAACCTGAAATTACATTAATCATCAACTTCTTGTTTCAGGAGGTCCCAATCGTCGTGGTCGGAAACAAGCTAGATCTGTCCGAAGACCGCCGTCAAGTCAGCAAGGAGGACGTGGCTGAATGGCTTTTCTGCGAATTGCCACGACTCCGAGCCAAGTTCATGGAATGTTCGGCCAAGGACAACGTGAACATCCGCGAAGTCTTCAGAGCCTTTCTTCAGCTCGGCCGAATTCCGCTGGCCTCCGAGCAGGCGCCAGCTCTGCAGCGACGCTGCAGCGCGAGGGTAACAGGACTCAGAACACGCGGTTTCTCGTCCACATCCTTGCAGAGGGACCAGTCTTCGTCTACTGGAGGCGGAGAATCGTCCTTACAAAAGTCAACAAGTGGCTCGACAGCTTTGGATGGCTTTGGTGTGCAGAAGGCAAAGCCAAGAAGTCGTTCGCTCATTCGAAGAACGAGCAAGAAGGCTAAGCTGAAAGATCCGGCAGCTGGCGATGACTGTACCGTATCGTGACGTGGTGTGCGTTGCTCAGCAAAGTGGTCCCGATGTCTCGGTGCGTACGTTTAAGTGTCTTGTTGCGTCGACGGTTCTTCGAGGTATTACGAAGATTGAACTGTGGTTATAGGACACTTTTGAATGCGCCGTCTCAATTGGCTATTTCTTTGTAACTTCTTGGAAAGTAGGACTAGATCGTCGCACGGGAGGTTCACCTATTAATATCTGGACCAGTAAAAAAAACCACGGTGATTTCAACGGCACGTCGTGGAAATGGGCAGGAAAGAGGATGGTTTGTTCGGGCCATTGACGTGGATTTAGACAAACACTTACAAGAACTGCCGTTGTTTCATCGAAACTAATATCCGATGGAGCGAAGCTATGTATCATGTCTGACGTTTGTGGTGTTACAAGGTGGCGATTCCGTCTACATTTTCTGATATCACTATTTAATGTATTCATAACATCTATAGTTCAGAACTCTCATCGAAGCAACACCATATCTACCAGAAGCATGTCTGTCATCTCCCAGACCAGCTGATTTCAGTTGGTGTATATAACCCCACATGTCCTTCATAGGCCTCTCCTTTAAATGTTCCTGCGCTTTCGAGTGGGGTGACATTATATGTTGTATAACTTGCATGTCGAACATGCAGCCAAAACATCACATTATTTTGCGTTTTTATTTTTTACTTTCTGGTGTAAGCCTAAACCAGCATTCATATCACACCACCAAAGTTCTTGTAATTAATGGGACACATTCTATGCTGCCCCCATACTGCTCCATATTATAACGTCTAACGTAATGTTTTCTGCGTTTTCAGTCAAGCTTCTTCGGCCTCTGAGACCAAAATGTAAAACGTCAAGAAATTTACGAAAAGTAATTATTGAGGCTTGTTATATGGGTTACTAATTTGATGTAATGTTACATTGAACATTACTTTCCTTTAATGTTCAGCGCAAAAATAATGTGTTGTATGAATTTTAAGAGAAAGCAGTATTTATCGAAATTTCGCCGGTACTCCCCTATGATACTAGCACCCACAAGTTAATAAGGTCCAGTAAAGTTAAAAAGTAACAAAATTTAGCATACACGTGATAGTTATCTAAAAAGACGTATATGGTGCTGTTTTTTCGGGCGTGATTGCAGAGTCACACACAAAACAAGAGTGCAAAATTGCCATGAAACTTATTTCAAAGAAAAATAACTTATACTCGGCGAAAACATTCTGTGGCAATGAAGACAAAGAAAAGGGGGGGGGGGGGGGGGCAGTCTAACGATTCTGTATTATTGCGCCAAGTAGTTCCGGCATTAGGACCGACTTATGGAGCAAATTACTCTGTAGTGATTTCCTCGAAATCTATTTGTCTTGCGACCGACGCAGATATGCGGCGTCGACCTAAAAAATACCGTGAAATTCGTCAGCGTCGCAGTTTTGGTGTGAACGATGCGTAAGCATTTCTTGTGCTAAAAAATCATACTTCAGGCACGACATACCAAAATTGGAGCACGCCCGCCCTACAGAGCAAAGCCAAATTTTATTTGGATCACGTCTAGTTACCCGTGCCCCCGGGGGAGGGGGGGGAAGGGGGGGGGGGGGAGGGGGGGGTGCCCACACCTGAGGTGGACAAACGCGGAATCGTTTGATAACTGCGTGTTGGCGTATAGCTCTGACTACTATGATGACCCCTTTACAAACCGAATATCACCTTTGAAAGCGTTTTCTATTCCAACGGATGGTATTGCAGGGTAATTCCGAAGTGGCTGTAAATGGCCGAACAATTCAGATATTTCTATTTTTGTGCGGCAGGCAGCTTGAACAAAGAACCATCAGGCGTGCCACTAATGACGGGTCCAACCACGCCGCCTAAAGTATTTCTACACCGGCCGGTCGTTTGTACAAGAATGTCGAGCGTGCTGTTGAAGGGCTCAGTTACTTGTGGAATACACTGAAGGAATAAATCGGAGAAGTGACCCAGGTCATCGATCACTCAGCATAAAGAAAATCCTCTGGCTGAAATCTTTGGTCAAATGCTGGGAGCTCAGGGATTTAAATTATTCGCTAATAGGAGTTTCATTTCACATTAGGCTGGAAACAATTGAACATCTCGCTTATATGAAAGGCATTCAATGTAATGAATAAATGTTCCACAAAAATAAGAATGCAAGTATTTTTCCTCTAGTAAAAGTGTCAGAATTCTTTTTTTTTTGTTTTATTACTTGCGTCTAACAAAAGTCTTTAAAAACACTAAAAGCGAGATGATGATTAACAATTAAATGCAATCGTGCGGAAAGTTATTCACGTTCGTATCAGGTATGATTCTTGTCTCTTGCTTCCAATATAAGTTACATTTCGTCGAATAGCTTAAAAAGTTGCATTCAATTGTGTGATATTTTTGGAAACGACATTTCATGTTGGGTGAAAATTAGTCTAAGGGTAAGCTGATTTAATCGGGATCAATAAGCTTTTTATGATTAGAGTTCACTGAACCGTCAAACTGGTCACTAATTAAGTCGACTGTTGTTTGGGCCATCCGCCCTGTTACACAACTCTATCAAACGAACTGTGATATAATTTTCACAATAACACCACATCAAAACATTTATGCGAAAAATTAATATTGCTATGTCACACACAACAATATACAGATGAGGCACCGTCGTCTTGGTGGTCAGTACTATTCTTAAGCCGTATATGAGCTTCCTGGATGTTTCCATATCAGTAGTCGTAACTGGTTGACATCGTGCTGGTTTGAATTGTTTCGGTATTTTTACTATAGTAACAAATATTACGTTGCCCAACTTTGCGATTTCTTCTCAATTATGAACATTCTCAATTCTACTTCTTCCTCTGGAAGTCGAATATCCGCGTCCTCAAAGCTGAGGTTACCTTTGTAAGGAACAATTCACTTTATTCGTCACAATATTTTGAAATCCGAAAAATGCGGAAAATACCAAATATCTTCACTGCCTTGTTCATTTCCTTCTACATATTTGGGAGCTTCCAAATCATTCAAAAGCTGCATGATTCATTCAATGAAATATTTTTGACGAAGACGTATACACATGTAGGATTCAGTTTCTCACAGTTGCATGAAGACGTTTTGTTAGTCTCTTTTTGCATTTAGAAATACACGTTTGGCGTGATATTGTGCAGCAATTATGAATACATTTCTTGCGTTTGAAGATTAGAGTAGTATAGGTATTTTACTGATAGGAAAAATAGTTGTTGACCTTTTTCCGTCTACTTGTTCCAAATGCTGATGTTATGACAAAGATTATTTTGTTTCTATAGGGACACCAAGTTTTAATAATGTAAAGTTGCTCGATTCATTTCTTCCTTCTAGATATTTAACTTTTGAGCTCGATAAGGTCGTACAAGATTTTATTACTATAAATTATTTACATGAGGCTTTGCACGCTCACAAAGTGATTAATGTCGCTACCAACTATGACAATTAAAATCAAAAAAAAAGAAATATCTAAAAATGTTGCTTTCGTGAATATTTTCATGAGTAATCGTTTTTTCTTTTTATTTTTTGCAAAATGGCATGTTGACTCAAGAGTTAAAACAGCCACTAAGCAAAATACTATCATAAAAAGCATAGATAGTTAGTGCAAGTTAATCAGATATCTTGGTGCACTCAGGTGGAAAATAGTGGCTGTGCAAAAACTTTCCTAAACAAGGCCGTTTCGAGCCAAATTGCATGATGTCGTAAATTAAATACAATGGGAAGGAGTATTCGACAAACGCCGCTGCGACCCAGTGTTTTCGGTTGTAGATATTGCATTATTTCAGTCAGAAGCAAATGCGAGTCCGTGTTTTATGCCAAGTGTTTCTTGTCTCAAGTGCGGAGACAATTATCCAGGACTTATCTTTGTCTCGTTGTCTCTTGGTGTGCATTTCAGATTTGTCATTCTTGAGAGTAGTAGTGCGTGCAAATAAACATTTATGTCTATTATAGATTTTACAAATCCGCGTTTGAGATGTACTGATGGAAGACTGGTATGGTTTACAAAAAAAGTAGACCTAACAAGTAAGCTTTTTTCTTTTATTTAGCCGGCCATTCTTTTAAAAGACTACAAATATTTCCCATCTTAGCACTGGTTTGGCTCACTGATACGCCCAGTGAACCAAACGAACATCAAGCGACACAAAGTGACAATAAGGTATTACAGATCCCTCGCTGTTTCCTTATGCCCTGTACTTAATTGCAAGTTCTGAGCTTCAGATGTTTTGACATATACGAAATCTCACAACTCGCAATGTTCTATTTTGTCAAACAATATTTTTTTTGTGTGTGTATACAAAATTCTGGTGCGTTGAACAAAATGAAAACCGACTCGTCTTTCCCGTTATTGTATCCTATTCTGAATCACTCCAATGTACGCGACTGATCCAGATAGTCATTTTTCTTAACAGGCGTAGGGCTGTTCACGTGGCAAATAGGGGTATAGTTTTTTATGTGATATCAACTCTGTGGCTATACTTCTTTGAACCAGAGAGTTACGCTAAAGCCTTGTTTGTTTTTATTGTATTACTTTAATGTCAGATTCATTGTTTAAGGGAACTTACGTGTGACTTCGCGTCTCAGAAATATATTATGTGCTTAAAGTGAAAAATATTTGTGAATGCTCTCATTCTTTGCCTTTATTTACCATGGTGATAGAATTAAATATTTTTAGTTTATGCGTTATAGAAAAAGTTCAATATAATTGTGCATTTTTTCTGTCTTAAAGATACTTCTTATTTCCGTCGGGTGAACATGCATGCTGTTTACAAAATAAATGTTAAAATTTTTAATCGTAGTAGTCTTTCATACATCTCTTGTAGCGTGTTCATTCCTCCCTCTGACTGTAATATCTCTATTTGTATAAACAAATAGTCACGTGTTGTCTTACTCTGTGATAGCAACTTCGTATACATTTTGACCGATTACGAATGGGCGTACAAAGGTTGCACTCATTAATTTTTATTTTTGCATTATTTCGTACTTCAGAAAGATTTTGTTTTTCC